TTCGAATTGGCATCTCTTGTCGTTTTAAGGTATCACAAGACTTTGTGGTACGAAATTTCAGTAGAAAAAATCTCTTTGAATGGTGTTTTTATGATGGCTTGGTTAGTCTTGTTGTGTGGAGATTACCAGAGAGTTCATGTGTGTTGTTGCTTATGGCATTGTGTTATCACAACCATCTCGACTCTGGAATATTGACTTTGACTTCTATCCTTTTGTGGCTGCTTGGAATTTGTATCTCATGCGGTCATTGCAATCATCCGTTTCGAAGGCGACGCTTCCCCTTCCCACTGTCGAAACTCCCGAAGCTCCTCTGTCACGAGAGTCCTAGAGATTGGGCTTGGCCAGTTTCGACTTTTTGCCTTATTGGCCCATCAAACACATCCCTCATTCAATCCAAGCCTAGGTCATGGTATGTTTCTTACACTGTTAAGACTTATGGTTTTAACACAAGGCTGGCTTTATCATTGATGTGTTTTGATCCTGATATTTTCTCTTTGAGAAAATCAAAGTTTTCTGGATTCTCAAATCTTGTATATTCCTCCCGGTGGGAGAGAACTTGTCTACATGTTCTTCTCTTGTTGAGAGTAAGAACTATCTCGGAATCAAAACTGAGCACTTCCCTAGTCGTTTTGTATTCTTATGTAGCGGTTTTTACCGGACCAAAGGATGCAACCAGATTCGTTTTGATGAAACTCGGAGATATGGGTAGTTTTCCAATGTCACGACTCAATGTGACCAAATTTATGCTTTCCGGCTTAGCCGTGAGCTTTATACCGACACATCAAGAAATTGTTTTTATTCGCTGTCGTATAATTATCTTGTTTCCTCTGATTTAAGTTGTAATGTTTTTATGTATTGTGGTATGAACCGATGTAAGATTCGACATTTAAGTTAATGAAAAAACAATGGGTTGCACAAACAACAAAAAGAGTGAGACAAGAATACAATCAAACATCAGTTATTCTCTCCTTATCATTCAAGGTTCTAATAAAATAAATAAAAAGATGCATTCCAATATCTCTGTTGAGATGATGCAAATCTCCTGGTAGAAGCAAAGCAGACGTATACATATTTGATGCAAAAAAAACGACCATTTTTTCAGGAAATCGTAGTGAATATTGATTTAGACATTCAAGTTAAGAATTTGTGCCATAGAAGATGTTTTCCATATGCTATAATTTTTATCAATGAACGATCTATTTCTTTTTCTATTTAACATTGTATATGTCCAACAATTTGCTACAAATATTTAGTCTTCTAGCTTAAATAATTTTTTTTAT